GTCCGAATGGACGCTTTCATTCAAATGCATCATTTCAATCCAATCGTAACAATTTTATGTCCGTTCGACATTTACAGATGCACCCCAGTTTCATGTTTTGGACTTTTTAAATTTCTAAAGCCAAGACATGTGTCAACCGATACCATTATACAAATGTTAATTAATTTGATACGTACCATCATGTCTTTACATCCTTCGAAGTGTTCTTATGTCAACTAGCCAACATGACCAACAGTACGTAACTGTTAGTAGCAGCTGGCATATTGGCTATACCAATATGTGCAGCGGTTGTCAAAGAAGGAGCAAGGCTTGCCAGAGGAGCAAGTGCAGTAAGAGTGATATTGATGTTTCGGAAGGATGCACTCTAAGTATGCATCATGGATTCAATCTGGTTAAAACGGTCTTCCATATGCTTGCTTCATCTAGATTGTAGTGGTTTGTTAATCTCTTCAGCCATTCTTGTGTATTGAGCTCTTGTCAAGACTGGAGAACAATAGCTTTTGTAAACATTTTTTCAAGCAAGATTTTGAAAGGCTACCTTGAAAAATGAAAATTGTTTGGCATTAGTCATCTTGAATTTGTATTTTTTAAGACTCTATCGAATCTAAGCTTTTATTTGGGGAAAAAATTATTTTTAGAAAATCACTTTTCTTCATTTTTAGGAATCATTATTTATATAAATAAAGGGGATTTATTAATACACAAGTTTTATACGTTATATTTATACAAAATCTCAATCATTTATTTTTTAAATTTTAACAGTTCAGATTTATTTATATTTATTAAAAATAATTATTTTTTTTTAAGTGGTAATAAATCTTAACAATTGAAAATAGAGAAATGAATTATTAAGATTTTGTATATGTATAGTATATAAAACTTGTATGTAAGTAAATCTCTCCTCATGAGACAAGTCTTACACATTACAATTATACAAAACCTAAATCATTCATTTCTTCACTTTTAATGGTTGACTTTATCATGACTTTTTAAATAAAACAATAATTATCTTTAATAAATGTAAATAAATCTCAATAATTGAAAATAAAGAGATGAATATTGAGTAAGATTTTATGTAACTCTAATGTATAAAATTTATATGGAAATAGTGCCTATCAACCTTATTTTTTAAAGATTAGGAGAAAAATCATCTCAAAACTATGTCATTTTAATAAATTTTTATTGAAAAAAACTAAACTACCATATTTTTAAAACATACATTAAGGTAATTTTTATCCTTTTTCCTTCTAATTTTTTAAATTAAAACGAACAAATACTAACCACAATTTATATATAAGTGAATTCCTACTGTATACATATAACTTTTTTTTGCCGTGTGTCTTCTAGAAATATTTCGAAAAAGGAAAGAATAACCCTTTAAAACCACGATACGGTGCATTTGTTTCCTATTATACTTTTTTAATAATTACTAAGTCTAATAATATCAATTCGTTATTAAACTTAATTTTCAATTAATGAATACATAAAAAGGTTATTTCAAACCCATTAATTCATTATAAACGAATATCTGATTTTCATAACAATTAAAATTTTTTATAATAAACATGATAAAGTAATTTATCAAATATTCATTAATTTCTTTTATTTTTACATTTATAACTATTAATATTATATATCTTTTCTATCTTAGTTTGTCTCCCCTCTCTCTCGAATGCCCCTATTAGAATATTTTAAGTCAAAACATAAAATATAGCTCATTAACATTATTTTCTAGATAGTTTTTCATTTACATGTACTTAACTTTTCGTTAATTTTTCTTACAACACCATCTCTTAACTTACTCATATATATTTTATCATTATATTTATCTTTTTGCCTAGATTCACCTATACTTTCTCTTTCCATATTAATAATTTATTTATTATTATTCTTTCTTACCTTATCCTCTCACTATATTATTCTTTTTTAGTCCTTTCTTACACATCTGTGGATCATTATACATCCTTTTTATTTTTTTATTTTTGTTTATTTTAATTCCCTTTCTCTTCCTTTATTTATATTGGACATTTTCTAAGTCAAAACATAAAAGACACAATTTTTTAACATTATTCTATTTTATTTTTTTTATTTGCATACCAGTACTCCACATCTCATTACTTTTTTTTATAATACTATCTCATAACTTTTCCTCTTATATTTTCTCACTATATTTATCACTCAAAATTATTTAAGTGTGCCCTCACTCTCTCCCATTTTACATTAATAATTTATTGTGATATCCCAGTCCTTATTCGCAATTAGTAAATAGGTCCTTGTTGCATTAAGTCTAAAGTTAGAGTTCTTCATCTCACCTAGAATTAGGGACTAATCTATAATAATTGCTAATTATGGGATTTGCATATTATTTTAATAAACTGCTAAATTGCAAACCAAGTGTCTATTTTAGGGAGAGTTACTGTAATCCAATTGTCTATAATCTGTTAGAATAGATGACAGGTGGTTAAATGAGAAGTAGGCCAAGTAAGAGAGCATTTAAGTCCCACTTGACCGGAGGTTTTGAGTTATCCAATTAAATTAGTCATTTTCCTATATTTTACCTATAGTTGGACTGAAGGAGAAGGAGAAAAAAGGTGCAAATAGGCTAGGCAAACTTGGAGAATCTTGAAGAATTCTGCCAAGCTTAGGATTTTGAAAAAAGTGTGTGGTAAGTGTGATTCTTAATTTTAAGTCAAGGTTGTCAAACAAAGTTTAAAGGTAAATAAAACAACAAAATAAATGTATTCAGGTGCTACAGTTTAAGTTATATAACAGAAGAGAGAAATAAATACAAAAGTAAGTTGAACTAAAAATCTCGTGTGTTAAAATTGTGAAATTTTTATAGTTCAAGTTTTGAGATTAATATGTTATGTGTATCACATTTTCTAGACTATGTCCTATGTATTTGACCTGGACACTTCATTACAGCCTATTTCTATTAGTTTTACAGACCATATTAAGTATACATTGAAACTATTATGCATGATTATGTGCTAGATGTTGTTCTGTGATGTAATTGTCTTAGAACTATGGAGAGTTTGGACCCTAGCCTTGGCTTGGGGGATTGAACAGTGAACTAGTGGACCTCTACATAGTAGGTAAGTGCTATGATTAGCTCTGGCACCTAATGTGAGTGCATGTACATTCAATGAACTCCATAGTTTGTGTTATTTCTACTTGATGTGCTGTGTTTGTGTAGTCATTTTGTGGTTGCAATTGCCTAAATTTTTACTAAGGCCTGTACAACCGGGAGTTTAAGGAATTTTTCTGCATAAGATACTAAGATTAGATTATCAGTTTAACTTAGGATTAAGAATTATGCTTACTGGGCTATGAGCTCATGGTGTTAATCCTACCATTTTAGATAGTAGCAGCGAAGAGTAGTTGTTTTTTCTAAGGATTTTTTTTGTGTGTGGAGTTCTTATGTTAACTATAAGCTGTGCTTTGAAATATCAATAAGGAAAATCTGTATTTGCCCAAAACTTTCATTTGGCTCTAAAATTTTGTGTCTATTTTGTACTGTTATTGAGCTTGGGAATAGTATATAAAAGGTTTAAGTACCATTTTGGTCCCTCAACTTTGCACTTTGGTACCAAAAATGTCCCTCAGCTTAAAAAAGTACCAAAATTATCCTTGAACTCTCATTTTTGTACCAAAATGATCCTTCCGTCAGTTAAACGCCAGGTGGCCCGTTAAGATGCCACAAAATCACCAACTTTTTTTATTTTTAATGACGTGTAAATCCAGCAAGGACATTTTTGACGCTGGCATTTTTCCACGTCAGATTGCTTCCTCACTTTTCAGATTCATTTTTTGTGGGACCCACATAAAAAAAACATATAATTTAAAAATAATAATTCTTTTTTTTTTCACCCACGTCAGATTTCTTCTTCCTCCTTCATTTTCTCTCTCCTTTACCTTTCCTCTTCTCTTACCTCTACAAACCTAGATCTGGGTTTTCTCTCAAACTTCGTCTTCTTCCTCCTTTCCTCCTTACTTTCCCTGCTCATCTTTCTTTCTTCTTCTTATTCTCTCGCTCTCTCTCTCTCTCTCTCTTCTCCCTTCTTCTTCCTCTCTCAAACCCAAATCTGGGTTTTAGAAAAATTGCTCCCTTCTTCGGCTTTATGTGAAATTATTCATTAATTTCATTTCTCCATCGGACAAACAATTCAAAAAACATTAAGCTCGCAAGCAGCTCATAAAATCACCCACCAATAAATACCTAACACCAGTAGAACACGAACTTGACAAACACATATCCTTGAAAGCTTCCACAAACTGCAACCCACTTCCTAGGGACACCAAAATATCCATTAAAATCCACAAAGGATCGAACTTTTTTTGGAGCAAAACCCCGATAAGACTATCTGCTCCAAGATAAACAGCAGAAGGGAAAACACACTAAATCCCAAAAAAGCACTAATTTAGAGCAAACCCAGATTAGCGTGGGTAGGAGAAAACTCTAATGAACAGAATGAAAAATCAAATCTTGCTACCTACTTCAACGCAAGCTCTCAGTATGCAACAATGGGGATAGAAAAGCGAAAATCAAGCTATGAAATT